GTTCCCACTTCTGTTAACTCTCTTTGTCATTACCCAGCCATAAAGACCCACAAAAACTTGCAGGCATAGGTAACCAAGAAACCTAGTAAACAGACAAGGGAAGTTTATGGTCCCTGCTCCACTATCACTTTTGCTAAATGTTAGCAAGCTCTAAAAGATTTTTTTAGATCTCGAGTTTGTATCTTTGCTCTAAGATCAGGTGTGTGTGTGTCTGTAGGGGGCGGGGGTGGTGGCTTGATTTCTGTCAGCATCACCAGTGGAGGTTTGTCTTCCTCTGGGCTGTGTGTAGATGGTTCGTTATTTTTCCTGAGAGTAAGACACAAATAATAAATCTCCTGAACTAAAGTCTTCAGGGAAATGTTGCAATTGTAAGGTGAGGGATTGGGAATCTCTTAAGGCAAGGTTAGTTTTAGGTCATTGTTTTTCTTATCTATAAGTTAGGTAAAACCATCTCAGATGTGGCCTATGGCTTTTGAGCCTGGCTGCCATAACATATAGAAATATGGGCCTACAGAGAAGCAATGAACATGGATGAGAAAATATCTCCATATCAGCATAGGGTGTCTTTTGGGAGTATTCTCAGGAGTGATAAAGCTTGATTATGTGATAAATATAGTTTTACTTTTTGGGGAACTTCCACACAAATTACGTTAGTGACTATATGTGTTTGCACACCCACCAGCAGGGACTGAGTGTTTTCTTTTCCCCACAGACACAGCAACATTTTTAACATTTGTAATTTTGTTTCCAGCTACACTGGCTAGGGTAAAATTTCATGATAAAATAAAATTTCAAAGTGGTTGTGAGTTTTATTTTCCTTAAGAATAGGAATGTTACACCTTTAAAAGACATTTCTCGGTCAATTGTATTTCATCTTTTGAGAGCCCTGTATTTTGGTTCATGCTCCATTTTAATGGTGGGTTGCTTGGTTTCTTGATGTGTAACAATTCTTCATAAATTCTAGATACTAAGTCCCTGTCCAGAATAGAACTGTTAATGATTTTTCCTGTTTTGTAGGCTGCCTCTTCGCTCAGGTGATGTGTTTTTCACAAAAGACATTTTTGAGACAGTGTCTTACTCTGTATCCCAGAGTGGTCTGATACTGACCATATTGTCTAGGCTGGTCTTGAGCTCTTGATGATTCTCCTGCCTCAGCCTCCTGAGTGCTAAGATTATGGCTGTGAGCCACTTTGCTTCCCTCAAAAACCTCCTTTATATTTTTTTTTGAATTCTATTATTATTTTTTTTGAAAGTAATTTTATTAAATTATAAAGAGTTTCCATTTACGCCCCTCCTCCCAACGCCCTCCCACTCCCCCCCTCCCTCTTCTCCTCCCTCTTTGTCCCCAAGGGCAGTCAGGGTCTCCTGCCCTGTGGGAAGTCCAAGTTCCTCCCCCCTCCCTCCAGGTCCAGGAAGGTGAGCATCCAAACAGACTGGATCCCAAAAATCCAGTATATGCAGAGGAAACCAGTCCCAGTGTCATTGTCAATGGCTTCTCAGTAAGACTGCAGGCCAGCCACATTCAGAAAATCCGGCCACATTCAGAGAATCTGGTTGGATCACATGCTCGTTCAGTCACGGTCCATCTGGCCTTGGTAAACTCTCATTAGATCCGACCCCTTGTATCAGTGGGTGATAGTATCCCTCGCAGTCCTTCGTCATTTTCTTCCTTCCATTTGAATCTTGGGGGGCTCAGTTCCGTGCTCCAATGCGGGCCTCCATCTGTATCGTCATCCAACGCCAGATGAGGGATCTATGGTGATAAGCAAAATATTCATCAGTATGGTCACGGGTCAAGGCCGGTTCAGGCACCCCCTCCTCTGTCCAGAGAACAATCTGGGGATCTCTCCTTGGACCTGGGATCCCATATATAATCAAGTTTCCTGTAAACTCTAATATGACTCCCTTAGTTGAAATATATTCTTCCCTGATCCCACATTCATCCTTCCTCCCTTCCCCCCATCCCGGTCAACAGAGCTTTCTCCATTCCTCCCCTACTCCCTTCTCTCTAACCCTCTCCCTTTGAACCTGATAGAAGAGAAAGTGGGAAGTAGTCTACAAGATATAGGCACAGGAGGCCACTTCCTAAGTAGGACCCCAGTAGCACAGACAATAAGAGAAACAATGAATAAATGGGACCTGCTGAAACTGAGAAGCTTCTGTAAAGCAAAGGACACTGTCAGTAAGACAAAAAGGCTGCCTTCTGACTGGGAGAAGATCTTCACCAACCCCTCATCAGACAAAGGTCTGATCTCCAGAATATACAAAGAACTCAAGAAACTAGACACTAAAACTCTAATTAACCCAATTAAAAAATGGGGTACTGATCTGAACAGAGAATTCACAACAGATGAACTTCGAATGGCCAGAAGACACTTAAGGTCATGCTCAACCTCCTTAGCGATCAGGGAAATGCAAATCAAAACCACTTTGAGATACCATCTTACACCTGTCAGAGTAGCTAAACTTAAAAACACCAATGATAGCCTATGCTGGAGAGGATGTGGGGTGAGGGGAACACTCATCCATTGTTGGTGGGAATGCAAACTTGTGCAGCCACTTTGGAAATCAGTGTGGCGGTTTCTCAGGAAACTGGGAGTCAACTTACCTCAGGACCCAGCAATTCCTCTCTTGGGAATATACCCTAGAGATGCCCAAACATACTACAAAAGCATTTGTTCAACTATGTTCATAGCAGCACTATTTGTAATAGCCAGAACCTGGAAACAGCCTAGGTGCCCCTCAATAGAAGAATGGTTAAAGAAGGTGTGGAACATATACACATTAGAGTTTTACTCAGCGGTAAAAAATAATGACATCTTGAATTTTGCATGCAAATGGATGGACATAGAAAACGCTTTACTGAGTGAGGTAAGCCAGACCCAAAAAGAGGAATATGGTATGTATTCCTACATTATGATTCTAACCTAAATATGGTTAGAATCATAAATGGATTCTAACCATAGTTAAAGGTCTTTGAGCCTATTATTCGTGATCCTAGAGAAGCTAAATAAGAAGACGAACCTGATGAAGATTTTTTAGCTATCCGCCAGGAGGTAGGAAATAGTCAAGAGTCCCAGGTAACCTTGGGTGCATGGGGTGGGGTGGGAGGGTTGTTGGAACCTCCTTTATATTTTTGGGAGTCAGTCTACATACATATGAGTGTTCCATTGGGAATAACCACAGAGGTTTTATATTACTATGCGGCCATGGGGTAGAACCATTAAGAGAGGAAAGATAATACACACTGATATAACGAGATAAGGAAAATTATGTTCTTAAGAAAAGGTAAAACGGGAGTGAGGGGGTAGAGGATGAAGTAGAGGAAGGAAAGTGGGAGGGATAAAGAACACTGAAGGATTTTCCAATAGTCATGAAAATCTGCCACTGCAGACATTTCCTAAAACGAGCTATGCACATATATAGAAGAGTTAAGATGGAGTTGCCCTCCACTAGGACAACAATGTCCCTGCTAGATACCATAGGGTAACAAATAAAAAGCCCAGAACCAGAATGTAGTTTGATTTTTAAGGTGTTTTCCAGTGAGTTCCCTCAGCACTACAGGTCATTGTAGGTGCTCTTGTCTACCTCCCAGAATTTGGAGGTAAAACCCTATTAGTGAAGACACCAAACACTCGAGTTAGAGAACATGGAGAAGTCACACTGATACTGACCAGAAGCTTCATCCCTACTGGCTAGGTTTCATGGAAGGTTCTAGCCATAATACCAAGGGGGAAGAGGAATCATTAATTAAAGCCAGTTGTGATCTCTGTGAGCTATAATGATACCTAAGCAGATAAGACATATCCATTTCACTATAATTGTGGTGGAAATGTCTTGAGAGTAACCAGCTGCTTCCTGGTTAGATTGAATAGCTTCTCCACAAGAAGAAACCTGTATCTGAGCATGAACCTAAGGCTAGAGAGATCCTAGACCCTAGGTGAGAATTATTATTGTTATTCTGCTAAATGGACATAATATCAAGCCACCTCCCAATAAGCCATGGGTATAATGATACAAGGCATCTCTCAACCCTCATTGGGGAAGCTTGTGTTTGCAGCAGATGATCATCAACCCAGAGATGAACAAATAGCAAAGACACAGAGATTAGGACACGAAAGACTATTCAGCCCTACATGGAATATATTAATGCTTCTTCCAAAGGCACAGGAATGATTGTAGAAGAGAGGATGACAAGACTGAAAGAGCCATGATGGGGGCGTTTAGCCAATTATATTCTGTCAGTGGGGCGTGCTGCCCTAAGGCAAAAATTTACCTATAAACCTGGCGGGTGTGCTCTCTCTCTCTCTCTCTCTCTCTCTCTCTCTCTCTCTCTCTCTCTCGGCTCCTGCGTTCTGGACAGACCGTTGGGACGCTGGTGTAAGTTTTCCTTTTGTTTATTAAAGCTGTATCTTCTGTATTAAGCTAGTCTGGCTGATATTTAATTACCAATCGACCTCGCCCCTTCAGAGCCAGACTTGGTGGATGGTGACGGGGAAACAGGGTCTTCTGCACACAGCAGGGCAGCTCCACTATGAACTCACCATGGCTGTGACAGCTTGTGTAAGACCTGCCAAGCCCATGCTGGACTGAATAGCAGCATAGACAGGGGAATAGAGAAAAACAAGAATTAAGGAATGTGAATTCACAACCATGAGAAATTAGGATTGTAGTCAGAGGGGGAGAAAATGAATATTTTCTTGAATGATACAAAATTGGCATCTGCACAGGGCTCAGCACAACTGGTGTTGTCTGACCAGCTCAGGTTGCATTTGTGAAGCCAGGGATCATAAAAATTACCTTTCAAGGGTTGTTTTCCTGGCTAAGTCAGCTGCTTGTCCATGTTGTCCCTAATTCCAAAGGCCACATTCTACTCCGTTATTATTTTAAGACTTTCCAAAATTTGCTGCCAAGAAATGAGGAGCTAACAGAATGATAAACAGCCAATAGTTTCACTTTCTCTTTCTTCTTCTTGGAAATGCAGGGAATTCAGAAAAACAGCAGGATCCATGCTCTTAGATGATTGGTCAAAACCCACTGAGAGGGAAGGGGCAGAAGTCAGAAGAGTGTATAATTCCAGCCCTGCTGGCTTGAACCTGCTGCTTTTCCACAGAGAGGGGATACAAGAGAAAAGACTGTAGCAGAGTGGAGTGCAGTTCCTGCCGCTGAACCTGGTGAGGAAATCCACTGGTCAGGATAATCTGGTAAGCAGACATCTGTATTCAGATCTATCTTGAGCAACCCTCACCATCTCTAAAGAGATGACAGGTAGCAGGACTTTTAGAAACATGCCCTGAAAGTGGGGGGGTCCAAAGTTTGGAAGCTAAGGGACTTTGTGGGAGTCAAGCAGGACAGGCTTGTAGATGGTCTTAGCCAATCATTTATGTTGAAGTAGAGTTGAATGAAATGATCTCAATATTGGTTTTGGTAATAAGTCATTAAATTGTTTTGGCTTGATCTCGTATTCCTCTCCCTAAAATGGTTCTAATAGGTAATGGAATATTTCTGCCATGTGTATTAGGTTTATTGTATCCCGTCTCAAATTGCTTCCTAGTTCATTGTCAACTATTTAATTTCTTACATCCCGAGGCCTCCAACTTGTGGAGAAGGGGTCTCTCTGCACACTGCTTCTGCTGTGCCTGTCTGTGGGAATCTGTGCCTAAAGAATCAGGTTTTCTTTACTGTCAAGCAGAAGTTCTAAGATCTTCTCTCCATCCGTGAGAACCTGAGCTGTGTCATGGTGTGGTGACGGTGACAGCTGTCATTCAGGCAGGCTTCCTTTGTAATGATTGCTGTGTCACAGCCTTCTCGTTCCCTGCGTTCATACTCAGTGGAAAGACCTTGCAGACAACTGTCCCACTGGAGTCTGCGTCACAGATCCAGGAGCTAGAGCTGAAAGAACGAGAGGGGAAAACTGGAGGTGAGAACAGCTTGTGTGCTTCAGGGACATGCTGTCTGTGATCCCCCTCCCCTCGTCAAAAGTAAATCAGGCCATGGTGTTTATTTAATCAGGTTTAGCTTCCTTTTCAGGACAATTTCTTTACCGACCTCCTTCCATCCTGTGCCTGCAGTCAGACTGAACAAAGTTCTGTAGCTCTGGTTTCCTGCACAGCTGTCCCCATTTGTCTTGTAGATTGCACGGGGGCTGTGTGTGCAGTGAGTTTGTATGTGCTTGTGCTCATATACAGTATGATTCTAAGGACACCTCTGTTTTGTATTAGACTGTTTTTATGCTCTCTCCAGACTGTTGTCTCCCACTGTTTAAGAATCTACTAAGACTTTAGGTTCCCACTGAGCAGTTAGAACGACAGAACAGGCACAGGTGTTCACAGTAAAGTCCAAGTGTTTTCCTCACAGTCCTCTTTCACTGCCTGATCATATATCTGTGTGTTGATGGTGAAGAAGTGAGCAAGACAAAAGCACTTTCCGCTGTGCAAGGTTCATTATATCGTGGGAGGGTAACAGCAAATGAATGACAAATACACACTATGCGGCAGCAAGGGCTGTGGAGAAACTGGAAACATAGTGAAAGGATGGTAAATGATAAGAGGAAGGCATATTTGTACATCCCAATGTGAATATAAATCCTGAATCCTGCCTAACTGAATCGTAACCTACAGAAAGTTGATTAACAGCCATGTGGTTATGGGGAGAGAACAATAAGGCATAGAAGCAGTCACGAGGTTCAAAGTGATGAGATGAGAAGACAGCAGAAGATACAGGGGGCTAGAGTCCAGGGACCAGAGGCTCCAGAAATGCAATAAGTATTCAAAGGTATAATGTATGGAGCATGTGCACTGTATACCCAATGAATGCTCCCTGACTGAAATGCGAATCCTTGTGGTGCCTCACAGAATGACTTGACATGGTATGACGTCAGTGTCACTAGGATAACTCTGGCTGATTGATCATGCATGTTATTGCAAAAACAATCCCAGAAAATATAGCACTATCAGTGACTAATCAAAGCTGGAATTGAGGAGGTCTTGCAGAGGATAAAGGAGGAGGGATGATCAATTGTAAGTGGATTAGGAAATAGAGCCTAAGTGGGTGAACTAATTTGATGTGGAAGAGAGAGAAAGAGGAGGCTCCAGGGTGACAATGGGGATCTGCTGTTTCCTTAACTGAACTTGAGGTCCATTGTGCTGTCGTGCGAGGTCTTGTAGGCAGGTTTGTGGAAAGTAAAGGGTTGAAATATGAGATTTGAGCCTGTTAAATACCCAATAATTAAACTTGGGTCCTTAGATCTGGCAGTAAGTGTATTTACCTGCTGAGCCTTCTTAATATACTTGATACTCTTTTTTTTCCTTTTGAGACAATGTCTCAAGTAGCTCAGGTTAGCCTCTAACTCACTATCAAAGATGACCCTCTTAGCCTACTCCCTGAGTTCCAGAATTATAGAGATTCACAATTACTTGCTTTTTATGAGGTGCTGGAGATTGAACTCAAGGCCTTATTCATGCTGGAAAAGCACTTTACTGATTGAGCTACATCTCCAGGGCACAGTTAGATTGCTTTCATAAAATAAAAGATTTAGAAGAAAATAGTGAATCTAAATGATGACTCGAGGACACGGAATTATCATTTTGGATAAATTAATTTTAACACAGAGTTTAAAGGTAAAGAAGTTTTATATTAGTGTAAGTTTATATTTTTCATGGAGATGAGTTTCTTGTCATGAAAAAAGGCAAGTAAATCTAGACAAAATAAAAAGTATTTCAGCAAAACACAGTAGCTGAACTTACTGAAATGTTTTAAAAGCAAAATAACAGACAAAAACAATTTGTGAGATCAGGAGACAGATTTGGCATTGATTAAACACTGATGTCAGTTGTCATTCGTTATTATTTATTTTTCAGTATGCAAAACTAGATGTATGTTAAATTTCTTTTCATTTGAAAGCACACACTGAGGGAAGTGTGCACAGATGGAGAAGAAATCTCAGATTTCAGACAAAATATTCCAGTTCTAGTTAGATGTGACACATTTACTCATGATTAATTCACGATGCTGGTGAAAAGACACAAGATTTTATATTATTTTTCTTTACTTAAGTAATATTTTTCTATAATGAAGGATTTAATTGAGAATTAGTATAAATTTGGTCTAGTTTCCTTTCTATTTATGATATAAACACTGTGACTAAAAGAATTTCTAAAAGATATGGGTTTTTGGACTTACACACTCTGCTAACAGTCCACTGGGGGAAGTCTGGGCAGAAGCTCTGCAGGAGTAGAGGCAGGATCAATAGGAAATGACTTGGCATTTCACTTGTACTTTAATCAATAAAGCTTACCAGAAGATCAGAGAGTATAACAGCCTCAATGGTCAGCCTCACAGACCAGGCAGTGGTAACACACACCTTAAATCCCAGTAGTCACACTAGTTGCCATAGAAACCAGGGGGTGCATGTCTTTAATCCCAGTGGTGTATGCCTTTAATCCCAGCCCTAGAGAGGATTATAAAATGGGAGGATATCTCTCAGAAATAGCATCATTCTGAGATTCCTGGAGGCAGGATCACCATTTCGAACAGAGGTAGAGGTAAGAGCCAGTGGATGACTGCGTTGCTCTTCTGGCCTTCATGTTGAAACCCAATTTCTCTCTTTGAGTTTCTCTTAATCGTGCTTCAAGAAGAATATTGTTTACTGTCTTGTTCCCCATAGTTTGATAATGCTTTCTTAATTTACCTAGGACCACCAGCAAAGCGGTGGTAAAATCAACAGTGGGCTGGGAGCTCCCACGTCATCAATACTCAATCAAGAATATACCACATAAGGGTGCTCCTGGGCCAATCTGATGGAGGCACTTCCTCAAATGAGATGTAGTCCTTCATAAAGGACTACAGCTTATATCCTGTTGGGCGAAAATAATCAGCATAATATATATGGGAACTGGTCAACATCAGAACATAACTGAGGCTGCAGCATAGAGAACTCACTGCTAAGCATAAAGGCGCCTTGAATCTCTTGCAACTAACTCTCCCTTCTTTCTTTCAGGGCCCCTTTATCAACAGTCATGGGTCAGTTATTCTCTGATACATCTAAGAATGAAGACCGTGGAGATTTGGAGTCCAGTTTTACTGCATATTTTAGGAAGACCAAGAAAGAAAGCAAAATCATTCCTCAGGAAACCATCGATTCAATTGAGCTACACCTGACCAAAGGAAACATTCAGGGGGCAAATTCTATAATCAGGGATGCATTAAAAAATATTGATAACATCCCAATAAACGTTGCTGTTACTGGAGAGTTTGGAGTAGGGAAGTCCAGTTTGATCAATGCCCTCATGGGGGTTGGACCTGAAGATGAAGGTGCAGCTGAAGTTGGGGTGGTAGAGACAACTATGAGGAGAACTCCATACAAACACCCCAAAATTCAAACTTTGACTTTATGGGACCTGCCTGGCCTTGGGACTGTGAACTTTCCACCAAAGGATTATCTGGAGAAAGTGAATTTCCAAGAGTATGATTTCTTCATCATTGTTTCTGCCACACGTTTTAAAAGCCTTGAATTAGACCTTGCCAAAGCAATCAGATTCATGAAAAAGAATTACTACTATGTGAGAACCAAGGTGGACCAGGATTTAGAAAATGAGAAGCAATGCAATCCACACACCTTTGACAGAGAAAAGGCCATGCAGAAAATCAGAAGTATATGTGTGAATATCTTCAATCAGAATAACATGGATGCACCACAGATTTTCTTGATTTCTAACAGCAATTTATCTGACTATGACTTTCCAGTCCTGATGGACACCCTGGTAAAGGATCTTCCTGCTCAAAAGCGCCACAATTTAAGGCTTTTCTTGGCTAATATCACAGAGGCAGCCATTGACAGAAAGCACAAGTCTATGCAGCAGACTGTCTGGATGGAAGCCTGCAAGGCTGGACTCTTAGCTACTGTTCCTGTAGTGGGCATCCTCAGGGATGATGTGGAGGAGTTGAAGGTGAAGTTAAACCACTACCGAGTCGAATTTGGAGTGGATGATGAATCCCTGGAAGCCATTGCTAAGGATTCCCAAGTGCCTGTTGAAGAATTAAAAAAATTGATTAAATCCCCTTATTTGTTGGAAAATGAGGGAGAGACATTAGGAGAAACGTTTTTCAAATATTTGGAGAAATTTGCCTCAGCTACTGGTGGGCCCGTGGCTACAGGTCTCTACTTTAGGAAAACCTATTACTTGCAATATCTGTTCCTTGATACAGTGACTGAAGATGCCAAAGTTCTCCTTAGACAAATTTAAGAAAGTAGTTTAAACTCACCTTATCCACAACTACTGACCATGACAAGATCAAATGATTACTATCAAGAAGTCATTAGATGAATTCCCCCTTCTGACATATTTCTTTACTCTAGCTAATTGGCTATCACCGTGGAGACACATAAGATATGGACCATGCTTCTTACTATGTCACAGTCTGACAACCTCAGACCCTCTTCACCTCTCTACCCTCCTTCCTGTCTTTCAACTCCACCTGTTGAGGAAAATTGTTTTAACTGGGCAAAGATGTGTTACTTTTGTTTATGCTGCAGAATATGACCTTAACTGTGTAAAAAGCGTGGTACATTTGGCATTCTAATGTGGGGCTTGTATTTTCATGTAGTGCCTAAAAAAGCTGAGAAAAAAAGAAAAAAGAAAAAGAAAGAAGCCACATTTAAATAAAACCAGCCAGAGATAGGCCCAGCATTCAATGCTAATAGCGCTCTGTGTCACAATTTGGGAGCCCAAAACAAACTCTGGTACATTCTCCTGCACACTTAAATACACACACACACACACACACACACACACACACACACACACACACTGATGCACACATCCACGAATGGACACATACAACACCCAAAATGCACAAGCACACACAAAAGAAATGAATACGTACTTTGTAGCTTATTCCTCCTAATCAGCTAATCAAACATTCTAGTGGAATCTTAGGAAGCTGGAGGCACTTGCCATGCATGTATGAGGACCAGAGCTCAATTTCCAGAACTCATATAAATGTTCAGTGAGTGTGGCAGCCGCCTTGTACTTCCACGCTCAGAAGGCAGAAACAGTGCAACCTTGGAGCAGGTTGACTTCCTAGACTGTGTAGATCTACAAGCTCTGGATCTGGTTGAGAGAACCTGTCTTGGTGAAAAAAGGTAGAAAGTAACTGAGCAGGAGATCCAACATAAGCCTGAAAAGTCCGCACACATGTAAACATGCACACACCACACAGGGAAACATTTTAAATACAACATAAAATAAGATTTAGGAATGAAATAAAGTCTTAAGTCTTAGAAAGTATAGAAGCATAAAAGTTTCATGAGACCTTCAAGTAGTGGGTACATTGTCTTAGTTTGTGCCTCTGTTGATGGGATTAAACACTAGCTGTTGGTACATAGTCAATGAAGAAAGTTGTGTGTGGAGATTTCTGAGAGCTTGTGAGAAAACTCCAGGACAAAGACAAAAAGACAAAACTACTTGGCTAAAGCTATCATAAAATTTACATATTTACATACAAGATTTTTGTAACTTCTGTTCTTCCAGAGCATGGATTTTTTCATGGAATGTGCTGTTGTGCTCCAGGAGTGGGTCTTGCTGTAGATTTTCCGTCATCTTACGACTAGTATTAAGGATGATGTTTCCAAACAGAAGTTGTCCTCCTGACTCTGCACTGCCTAAACCCAGGTGACCTTGCCTTTGTGATCGATCATAACTTGAACCCAAGTGAGGTTTGCTCACATGATCTTGCTTGACCCACAAAATACCCTCAGAATATAAATTGTGTGAGTCCCTGAATAAAGTTGGTTATTGCATGAGACTTTAGACCACCTCGTTTTTAGGTTCCACTTTTCGATTTCATGCCCCTAAATACAGTAGAAACACTAAGTTACTCAGAGGGAGGAAAGTATTTAATTGGATGTCCAGTTACAGCCCATCATTAAAAGAAGCCAAGGAACTGAAGTAGAGACTGTGAGGGAACACTGCTTACTGACTTGCTCTCCATGGCTTGTTCACCCTATTTTCTCACACATGCCAGGATCACATTCCTAGGGATGGCACTCACCACAGTGGGCTGACTCCTCCTACATCATTTATCAATCAAGTAAATGCCCCGGAGATAGTCCCACAAGCCAATGTGATTAAAGGAATTCCTCAATTGAGAATCCCTCTTGCAAGTGACGCAATGGGGTTCATGTCTCTAATCTCAATACTCAGGCGATTCTCTATTTACAGGTATGATTGTTCATGTCGAAGTCTTCCTGGCCAAAGCCACCATCATATCAGGTAGATTAATACAGGTTCCCATATATCTGCCACATTCTTCTCTTCCCATTGTCAATCATTCTTCTAGGAATGAAAGCCTCAGTACAGCTGGGGAGGAACCTGCATCTAGACAGGCTTTGCCCTTCATTTGGTATCGTTTGCGTTTACTTATAACAAGGAACATGGGCAATACATTTTAGGAGAAAAGAAAAACTAAATTCTTAAAAAAAGCTTTTCTGGGTGTGTGGTTAGTATGAATTTTATGTGCAATATAACTGAGCTTTTGAGGACTCGGTGTAAGGAGGGCTGTTTCGAAAAGGTTCATGTCCATTGTGACCCAGAGTAAATCACAGCATCACTTTAGACTCGTTGAAGGCAGTTCTTTTTGGACCGGCAGTGACATGATGGTCCTCAGGGTCTGTGGCACCTAGGACATAAGCCTACATTCATTCTTAAGGCTCAGGAGAAAACAGATCACATATCCACAGGTCTGTGCCTCAGACATATGGCTCAGTACTCATTTCCATAAGAATAGATGTGGCAATAACTCTGTGTCTATGGAACAGAGCACAGCACTGCCATGGCTCTAACAGAAAAGGGATGCTCTACACTTGGTAGAACAGGGATCTATTCCAACATGAGTCATAGTTGTCCAAAGGACAGCATTTCAGACCCACAGTGATGAGCCCTGCTGCAGTAGTGACTCTGGATCCTTGGATAAATGGACACGGCAGTTACTAGACTCTTTAAGGCCAGTGAATAAAGTAAGAAAATAAACTGGAAATAGAAGGGCATAGCTGGGCCTTGGGTCTTGAGGTCATGAGAGACTGAGAAAGGTTTAGATAACAAGATTTCTTCAGAAGAGCAGGGCAAGTGTTCTTCCCATTGCGACTGATCTTTAATCAAACCCTCATTCACAGAAGACTTCCTCAGCAGCCTGAGTAGCACTCACCAGCACTGCAAATACAAGCCACAAAGCAGGAAGCTTTCTGACTGGTACCAGCATATTTCTATGTCCTGTGACCAAAGTATATGGTGTTTTCATCAATAGGTTCTTGCCATCAGATTCTGTTGGGAATTCAAGAATAAAATCAGTAGCCTGCATTGAGGCATTTGGGACCTCCCCGATCAACAACTGAGGGGCAGGTACCACACAGCTGACACTGAGTTTCTGTTTGACACCTCCAATAGCTCTTCTTGTTGCTAACTTCATTCCAGAAATAATCAAGTTCCAGACTCTATCTGGAATAAGTATAATCCAGAAATTGTGGGTACATCTGTGAAAGATCTTATGCTGAGGTTAAAATGGGTGAATTCGCTTCTAGTCTGGACCTTTGATGTTGGAAGACAAGAGCTTTTAATCTGTCCACGCTTCCTGCCGACAGCATATATAAGGACACAGAAGGAGGCAGCTTTTGCTCTTTCCCTGGTTGCCGTCACCTTGCCAGCACATTCACTCCATCACTAGCATTGGAGTCTGTTTAGTTGGGATTCAGAAGACCAACTGAGACCTCTAGCCTTGTAGGACTGATGAACTTCTAGATTCTTGGATTTCCTTTCACATCTAGTCATTGTTGGATTAGCTGGACTATAGACTGTAGTCATTCCAATAAATCCTATTTTATATATAATGAGAGAGATTAATTCTCAGTTCTGTGACTCTAGAGAAAGCTGACTGATACAATAAGTTCTATCTTCTTGGATGAACATTACCCCCTCATTGCTGTGAACAACTCCAGTTAAACTCTTTAAGCACACATAAAAGGTAGGATCCAGTACAGTGCTGTCTGACATCTCTCCCTCCTCCTCTGCCCTTCCCTCTGACCTCTTTCCCATTATTTACCTTTCCTTCTTCATACCCCTTGTGTTCTACTAATCTCCTCTGTATTATTCAGAGCTTCCTAGAAGAAGAGAATCAATGGAATGAATAATGTCTAACACACACATAATATATAGAATATATTAAGACAGCTTACAGTGGAATAGTATCAACAAATGAATCACAACTGAGAGGCTGAGAACCTGCTAGCTGTTCCATACTTATAGCATGCCTTAGCAGTTGGGGTAGTCCCACAATGATTTTCTCTCCCTTGGCACGCTGACAACTCCTCGTTGTTCAGGCCACAGGATTGGGTACATCTATAATCCCAATCTGGTTCTGAAATTCTGGAAGCTTCCTGGAAATCCACTGATCCTGAGGTCACGTTGAAATCCTGGAAAGATTTGTTCTAATATCAGTGAAGGAATCAGCAGAAGAGACAGGGTAAATCAAACCATCGTAAAAAGAACACAATCACAAGGCAAGTGATTGTAACCCTGCCTTACCCTTGGCATCTGGGTGTGTATTCTTCCCTCAACCAAAGCAATCTGGACACTTCTTCAAGTGAGGCTCCCTATCTAATCTGTGGCCAGTTGACATTAAAGTCAACTTCAATACACTCTATTAAGATCTCTCTTCCCTATGTGCATTGACTCCTTTCCAGTTTCCTAGAGTCTATGGCTATTCTAAGTGAATGACTCAAATCTAAAGATCCTAAGTTAGAATCTATATATGATTAGTAAAAATATTAAGTGCGTGTTTCTCTGAGTGTGGATTACATCACTCAACATGTATTCAAGATGCATCCATTTACTTGAGAATTTCATAACTGCATTGCTGTTTGCCACGGAATAATATTCTATTGTTGTGTATACATCATACTTTCATTGCCCTTTCATGAACTGATGAACACCAAAACTCTTTCCATTACTTGACTATGGTAAATATGGTCGGAATGAACATGAATATACCTATGATAGACTATAGCGTCCTTCTTTTTTTTGTGTATGGGCATAGTTTTATTATCCATACAATAGTTAATGGAAATCTAGGCCAATTCAATTTCCTAGGTATTATACAGAGTATTAATGAACATGGGTAAGCAAGTGATTCTATAGTAAAATATGGAGTTTTTTGAGTGTATGTCCAGGCATGGGAGAGCTGGGTCCTTTTCAGTGAACTTAATCATGAAGGTGGAAAACCTTTACAATGAGAAATAAAGCTAGGAAAGAAGTAGAGGAAGTCACTAGAGGATGGAAAGATCCCCCATGTCTATGGATGGAAATGTTAACGACCGTGAAAATGACCATCTGACAGAAACAAAGGTACACATTGTGTGCAACCCCAATTAACATCTCCATGTTGTTCATCAAAGATTTCAAACAAAAATGTATATGCAGGCACAAAAGACTTAATAATGTAGTCTAGGCTGCCCCTGTGAGATCTAAAACTGCTAATTCCCTGCATCCCATACCAGGATGGCTGACAGACAACTCAGATTTTAAATATGAAAATTGAACTCTTGATTTTTTTTTTTTACTGAAATGGTATTTGAACTTCTGTGGCTCACCCCTAAATAGGTGCACCCTTGAAGGTGAATAGGCCCATGCTGGTGATATAGAGTCATCTTTTTTTTTCAAAGTTTATTAAATTATGAAAGTTTCCATTTCCGCCCCTCCTTCCAA